AAAGACTATAGATATAGGCTACAGGGATGAATTCTGTAAAACAGATATAAAACAAAAACAGAAAAATATAAAAAACAATTGAGATTAAAAGACAATTAAATAATAATGTTTCATTTTTATGGCAATACTTTCATGTAGACCCTTTCCTACAAGTGTACAGCAATTAGAAAACCTGTTCTTTGACATCAGGCAGTAAACTAATCTTTTTCAGATGGATATTTGTATGTCTGAATGATGTTATGCACATAATATGACAGGATTGGAAGCAGGTCTCCAGCATGTTGAAAAGGGGGGAAATTTAGAACAGAATTCAGTAGAGTAAAATTACACTTTATAAATCAGCAGCTACCGGTGATTTAAATACGGGATTCCCACTGCTTAAACATCTCCACGTCCCCTGCCCAAACAAATAGAAAAAAGAGTCAGCTTGTTTAGGAAAATGGTAGAAAAGTAGAAGAAAGCCAGCCCAAATTCATATTTTGAAATATAAAAGTGAAAGGAAAGCACGTTTTACACAAAAAGATTCACTGAAATATCTTTGGCTTAGAAATCAGTGGTCAAAAAAGGCACTAGTCACAGGAAAATAAATAATAAAGTCTGTATTATGAGTGTTTAGCCTGCCTACTACATATGTAATATTCAACCAACAGTTTCAGTCCTTTTCTAAACAATGTTATTTAAATGAAACAACAAATCCCACTGTGAAACAACAGGAAAAATCATACCTCCTTTTCACAGGAAAACAGGTAAACTGATTTGTTAAGGATAGATCACCATGGCCACCAAGTTTCCATACCCCTTAGTGTCTGAAATGCACAAGCAGGAAACCTTCTGGTTGTTTGTTTTAATAGCAGTGTACCTACTGTTAAAAGGGGTAAAATCAGCCACCTGCTCACAGCAATATTCCCTTTTTAGGTCCATCTCCTTGTAAAAGGATCCAATAAACACTCATTTTCTACTAAAATTGGGTATCATTCTAATTAACTAATTATTAACAGTTTTACTTGTGGGAAACCCTCGGCTTTTCCTGACTTCTAAGAAATATTTCCGATCTTTAATTTTCCAGCCGCTGTTTTCCAAGATCAGCGAAATACCTGATCCAATTTCTAATACAAACACTGATTTGCTTACCTCTAGGTGAGTGACTACTCTCACCACTGCCAGAATTAAGCTAGCAAATGTTAACGAACAAGGGAGGGGCATCTTTCAGTTGCACTGTTTATCTTTATATTAGATTTTTCTCCTTTTAAATTTAGTATAACTGAAGTCTGTATCAAATACAATCAGTCAGTTTAATTTCAATCCTTCTAAAATACATGATTCTTGAATAATTAACTTTGCATTCCAATACAATTATTAATTACTTGATTCATTATTGTTGTTGTTGATTCATTATAATGCTAACAGCATTATTCAGACTGAAGCCAATGATGTCAAAGTGATTGAGTCCAACCTGTCATCTAGACAGAGGACTTAAATGGTTGGGTCCCTCAGGACACTATTTACACGTTTTTAAAAGAAAGACAATCAAATGTGACTAAACTGCTGTTACACAGTTGAGGAATGCTTTAAGCAGTGATTTTCAAACCTGGTACTTGAGAGGAAAATCCAATCACAAAAGGCTTAAAAATAGCGGTAATTGAGGACAAATAGATTAATGATTTAATTGTCAAATTATGAGTTCAAATTTGAATGAAAACGAGATGATAGTTTGATTTTTTAGGACCAGCACTGAATACTGCAAGTTTAAAGTATTTTCAATGAATGATCCCTTTTTAATTTTCTTAAAAGTTTTTTTTAAAGATCTTCTTTAGCAAATGTAAAAGATGTTATCACCTCAAATGAATTCAGATTTTAGCTCTACATTCTTCAAACATAATTCAGAAGTGGATATAATCTCAATGCTGGCTCACATAGCTAAACCAGAGTAAAGCATAACTTTTTAAGAAATCAATCTCAAAATTCTTAAATTGCGACTTTTAAAATATGAAAACAGAAAGATTCAGGTTCATCTTCATATGAATCCTACCAATTACATAAAACCAACTGTAATTGTAATCATATGAAGTTGATCTAAATTCCACCAAGTCACTATAATGTAGATAAGATGTATACACAACAAAATTAACAGACACACATCATGTAGTACTGCACTTATATATTGCACAGATTATCCAGAACAAATATAACTTTTGGTAAATTAATAGGAAATATACAGCATCAATATATATGATAAAATGTTATCAATTTTTTTTTGCAAAAATTAATCCCACGTGTATTTACAAAACAATTCAAGGCCTTAAAATTTTGTTTCACTTAACCTTTGAAAATATAATGATAATCCTATTAATTCTATGGATGATTATGAATGCTCACAATTCTAACACATGATGAAAGTGAAAGAAATTTAGAGATGGTGGAATGAAGGTGAAAAAGATAAATATAATCAACAAACAAAATATTATCAGTGTTACCCATATGGTTTGTTCTGAATGTGGAACACATTTTTGAACTATTGTCTGAGATTAATAACAGCAGGTGTTGTGTTGTGATACAGTACAATCCCTAGCTATACTTCTCCAAGAAAGGACAGATTTCCAATTAAGGGGATATCATATATACCATGTTAATAAAACATGACCTTGTGACCTCTGGTGCAGAAGGACAAACTCTAATTCTACAGCTGTTTAGAAACATAAATTCTCAACAGAGAAAATGTGCAACAAAAACAGAGAAATGATCAACACACATACATGTAGCTACAGTAGATTAGCTATTTTTCCTTTCTTTCTCTAATGTTTGTTCCACTACTAAATGGACTGTCAAGTCAAGGTCACTTAAAATTCTGTAGTTTCATTCGTTCGGGGACAACAACAGCCACCAAAATGACAGGTGCAGGTTTACATTCATAAATCTTTAAAGGTTTACACTGGCCTACAGCAGGGTTTGAAAAAATATTGACACATATTACGGTACATTCTTTGACATTCCTGTCAAGTGTTGAAAGGTAGGTTTAAGCCCTCCAACCGCAATGCACTGTTTGATATCCAATTAGGAAACAGGAAAAAAAAAGTCAATTGAAGAGTTGCAGTCGTAACCAAGATCACTACTGACACTTGTGGAGGAATAATAATTTCCCGTAGCAATGGAAGGAACACAAGCTTCTGCATGTTACAACTATTTGGGCTCATGAGAACACAGAACACTTCTACTTGTGTTTATGTATCAATTTATTTACTGTATTAGATTGATTGCATTACGAAGAGCAGATGTCAGTTATTATAATCAACCTTACTTTACATTTATTGCTTAGTGTAATTAAAAATGAAAGACTCATTAGCTTTGGTACGTGTAACTATAATTGACCATAAACTGAGTAATGAATCCCCCTGCTCACGTGGATGTATCTGTACTTGGCTTATACAGCACACATTTATCTGTATGGAGCCTTAACCTGAAAAAAGTCAAGTGGCAGCATGTCCACTTTGGAACTTGACAACTTTGTGGATGCATTTACTGCCTTCAAAATAAAGAAGAAGACCACAAGCTTCTATCAAAGTGAACTAACATTACTAATATTGTCTTTGTAAATCGTTAATACTGCATGAGTATAGCCTACTGCAAATGCACGACGTTCTCCATTACAGAAAGCTCTACGCAATAGAGACAGGTGGTGAAGAGGACAGAAGCATTACCACCGTGCTGCGTAATTTATTTTATAGTATCCCGTTCGTCTGCTGCTCCCCCCCCAAAAAAAAAGCCACAAGCCGCACTCTTTTGCTGTCCCGTGCGTACAATCCAGCACACTGGGAGAAAAGACCAAAAAAAACGCATCTCCAGGTCTCTCTACAAAAACTCAAATCCGAACGCACAGTACATTTCACATGCCCTTCTACATACCAGCACAGTTTATATTCGGGAAAACGGGCTTTAGGTGTAAAATCCATTCGCTTTTATTATTTTTTCGACAAAGAAACCAGGCATTGAGACGGCAACTACAGAAGAGTCACATAAACTGGTACCCTTACCAGTGACAGACTGTACAGGTATGATTATTATTATAGTACAGGTGTTCCAATATTGTATTCCAGATGCTACGCAAAGTACAATGGGATTTAGAGGGGACGTATGGAAGGAGATTGTTTTTAATATATACTTTCATTTATATTCATCTATGTAATGTTGTATTGACAAGGGTATGCTCGTTAAGTATGTTCGTAAATCAAATACAAAAATACTTAAGTGGCACTTAACATAAGCACTAAAGAAAACCTTCCTAACCAATCTGAACGCGTCCCCGAAGACATTCCTTGAAGCCATGAAGCTTAAGATAAAGCTAAACATGATTAGAACTTTCAATCACGAGAAAACTCATACTACAGCAAATACACAAGTATCGTTTTGGCAGTGCACCTGTCAGAATATTTCACATTTGTTTCGATGGGAAAATCACGAGAACAAAGGAGAAAAAAAAAACACAAAGACTACGAAGGTGACCAAGTTATTGGTCCATAATTAGGCACTGCTTATCAACGGATGCAATTAAAAGTACTGTAGTAAGAGGTCCTTCTTAGATCGAAGCATTTAATTGCACTGTACACAGTGCTAACAAGCCTCTGAAATGTTCTGGGGAAGCTAAACAGCAGTAATCTTGCGGTTACCAGTGGAAACCAAACTGAGCGGGAGTCAACTGACAGTCAAACAGATACACTTAAGATATAAAGCACGGGAATGTTTTCAACATTTTCCAGGCAACAAGTACAGCAGTAATATTGGACAAGCACGGGTCTGATAACACCTGGACTTAAATATGGATATTTTTGCTACTGCACTCTGTACACCATAGCCCTTAAGTGCACTCATTCCAGCAGAAGGCAGCTTGAAAACCCCACAAGAACTTAGCAACATCACCTTACCTTTCAGGTGCGCGCACCCCCTTGCGCTCCGGATTTGTGAGGTGGTGGATGCTGTTGTTAACATTTTTATTTTAAAAAGGATATGGGTTGCAAACCATTTTCAGACACCAACTCCGTGGTCGGGTTGTTTGTTTGAGGCAGAAAAACACAACGGGTGCCAGAGACGGGTACGGCAGCGCTTCTCCGCTGCTCCCCGACGTTTCCTCCGCCGTGGCTTGGTCTTTAACCCCCGCTCCGCTATCAGCTTCGCTGCGCTCCCCGCCACCGGAGAGATCGTTGAGCCGGATGAAAGTTCTGGGGATAGAAGACCTACTCTCAGTCTCCCTAACCCCTTGGTCTTCAGGCTGATGTCCTCCATCCTCGGCCATCATTCACCCCCTAAAATGCAGATATAACAATACATATATTTCATACAAACCGCTACTTTTATTTCATAATGTTTTGCATTAGTTTTTAACCTACAAAAAGTTGGAAGTACAGTATTTAGAAAGCACTGGCTTCCAAGCGCATTGGTCTTACTCAGTTTTTCATTATTAGAATAGAATGAACTACATCTAAGAACCATGGTGCAAAATGGGACCCAGTTTGGGTTTAACGAAGGCGATATACACGTGATTCCCTCATACTTTCCAGTATGCGGTCTTTGCAATATTTTGGATATTCAAGATTTTAAAGACTTGGAGGAGAAAAACAGCGGCAAAGCTCCGCTTGCTGAACTGGCATATTGGTTTGCTCTCCACGAACATTTAAAAAAAGATACATTTTTCCTGTTTTTTCTTTTTTGTATAACATGAAAAGCTTAAAGCAAAACCTCGCTTATCCGATGTAACCACATTGCGATGTCTAATTTCTGGCAGCAAGAAAACCTTAATATTGGTTTGCATTTTAAAATATGCCACAAAACTTTCAAAAACACGTACATGCGCCCAAATAAACGTGTCACCCAATCTTACATAACCTTTGTATTTTATATTGATTTTGGGGGGGGTATATGATTCTAGCAAAGTGGCATTTGTTTTAACTGTTAGTAACGTTGCAATAATGATTACCCTCCAGTCATGTTGGAAATGTCTCGTTTAGTATTTAACAACAAAAATCATAATAAAACATTTGATGTTAAAACCATTCATCACACCGTCAAGCACAACAGTTACAGTTACCAATGTTATATTACTTCCCCCATCTTTGCAGCAAGTGTACCCTTTGTCTTCAGAGGGGGAAAAAGAACGAAGAGAACGTCATTACCTGTTATTGTTGCCTTAGAAGTGCCAAAATCGTATTCAGTCATTGCATTTTCATTTCTTGTGGCAAAACCAGGCTGGAAATTCTAAATTAAACAGGAATGAATAAAGAGTGCGGGGTTTACTTCCAGGAAAAATCTTGCTTTAGGTTAAAGTTCTGTTGCGACAGTCCTGTCAGTATTTAAAGGAGTCAGATTCCATCCATTGTGCCCGAAATCCAGTATATTACCGAGTTTCTACTTCCATTCTTTTCAGTATATTAGAGAAATCCATGCGCTGCTTCCGAATGCAGTTTCCACTTTTGTTGCGCTTTGCAGAAACAACTAAAGAAATAAAAAAGGTGGTGACTTTCTGTCTTTTCTTTTTCCGATTCTCAATATCTTCTCCAAGAAGGATTATCGCGTTTTCATTTTATTATTCTAAATTATTACTCCTTTTTATCTGGTGGTTCACACCAATGGACTATCTTGTGGTATCGCAGTCTTTATTCCCAATTAACCGCATATATCGCAATACATATAGTGGTAGCCTGCATGATGTTTCTGGGTATAGTTCTTGTTCATTATTGCTAACAGAAAACTCTATCCTGACCCCGTACTCGGAGAAGCTCTGGCTGAAACATGAATACACAGATCAGAACAGCTTCACAGCTGGATCCGGAGCCAACTTCGATTCCCCGCCTCCCTCCTCTCCTCTCTCCGAATAAGAACACGGAGAGTTCCAGTTCCAACATCCCATTGGACACCGGAGATGTCTGTTGACAACTTAATGGGAGGGGGTGAACAGCTGGAATCTTATTGACAATTCGAAACCAATGAAAGGCTGTAAGGAGGCAAGCCTTTCGATGATTGGAGATTTTTTTATTCTAAGGCTTCGATTTCAAAAACCTGAACTCTTCTGTGCAAGTGACAGATGTTTGTTTTAAAGTGATACAACTGTCCCCGTTCAGCGGGGTGGTGCGGATCTATTCTTTAAAAAAACACATAATGGGCAATACACAAAGGGCACTGCAAAAACATAATATGCGAACTGTCATCTGCTTTCAAATTGTGCAGTAGCTAACAATGACTACGTCCTCGTTAGTAAAGATAGACCTTAATCGGCGAAAAGTGAAGGTTCCAATGTGTTTTTCACTAACTCCCCAACTTTGCTTTGTAAAGTCTCCCTCTAGAGTGTTAAATCGTATTCAATTGTTAAAATAATACAATGAATAAGGGTCTAACATATATTTAAAGAAATGTAAAGGATATTTTTCATACTGCTTGTACAGATCTGGTGCTACTTGTGTTTTAAACGCATGAATCGGATTTCATTAGAGCTTTGTCAAAATTGCTTATACAGTGCATCTGGCTTGTTAAATTCTGAAAGTAAATCTCCGGAGAAGGTTCCTTCTACAATTTTATTGTAGTTGCTTGTTATTGAAGTACCAGATAGGCTCTTTATTATAACATTAACATAGGGAGAACATGTGATCCCATTTGAAATTCTCAAAAGATAACATTTTGGATGGAAGAAACAGCTTCCAACACTAGAGCTAACTTTTTCATGGTGTTTATAGCAATTCTCTTAACAAATAATTAATCCTAACAAGCTGATACACCTAGCACATTTTTGCACAAGGTGAATTCACTAATAAATGAAAATAAAATTGTCTACGTATGTCTCTTTTGAGGCTTTTGAATGTGTGCGTTTGCGTACAATCGCCTCACTTCGCCATGATCCCATTGCGCAATGAAACAGATTTAGTTACAGTATGTTCTCCAGGAGAGTGAAAAATAAATCTTTTGTATTTAACGACTGTATTTGAATTGAGTTATAATTGTCTATTGCGTTATCTCAGAACTACATATAGTTATATATAAGTTGATAATGTGTTTTCAAATGTTGCTCTATTATAGACTATTTTCCTTTCGATTAAAAAAAACGTATTGGTTTCGGAATCTTATATGAAGCATATGAGCTCCTGTGCCTTACACAAGATATGTTATTAGCATCGATGTGTAAATGAGAAGGATTATTGAATCAATGAATTTTACATCGATATTGTGAAAATACGGTCTGTTTAGTTGCACAGAGCGTATCATTATCATACACTTTTAGCTATTTTACTGTAACGCGATAATTTGGTGAGTATAGAATATTTAACAGAATAAAGATAGAATACGTAATGAAATTAAGACTTTTTGAGGGTTGGCTTGCTCTACCATTTAAAAACGTTTTCCAGAAATTTCTTCATTTGCGCTTCATTTGGAGTGCGCAGACCACGAGAAAGACAACAGTAACCTTTTAAGTTCCAGATGTCTGTAAACTACGCAATACTTTGTGTAAGATTGCACAGCCGGTGAAAAAGTGCAAGACATGCGTGGACATTTTCATAAGGGAATGTACGATTGTTAACATGCAATAAAGTGCAGCTGTAGAGTGTCAGAGGAAGGAAGATGGACCTCTTCGAACGCATTACCCCGTCTTTGTAGGAAAATAAATGTACTACATTAACACGTAGCATAAAGTAATGTAACGAGAAGGATGAAAATAATGTCTTTGTGTTAGAAAGCTTGTATACTGTACGTAATTATGATGTACGGGTACTTTTTCTAGATGATTTGACCTGAGCCTGAAAGGAGGATTAAAAACGATCGGGGTTTCCAGCATTGTGATTCCTCAACACTGCCACACCACTATTGATGCATTTTATCAGAAAGCATGTCAGAGGTGTAATTGGCGCATAGCGAACAAGTGTCGTGATAGCAAAGTGACTTACAGTATAATAATAGGCTGCTGGAAGACAGGGGGCAGAGGGCATCACCTCTGGCTAAGAAATTGGTCTGGAAATCTTTAAGGGAGAAAGAGCGAGTGACAGGAGACAGCACTAAACATTTCATTTTACACAAAAATGAAATGCAAGGTAATGTTTTTAAAATATCGTGAATATTAAGCATTTGTAAGATTTTTATTTATTGTAGCAGGAATTCTTGATTTTGTAAATCCAAGATTCGTATGATATTTATGTTGTCTCATTGCGCATCACGCCATTACAGTCAATTTTCACAAAACGTTGTATAAAATTCCACACAGTTTATACTTATGTAGAATATGCCATATATTTATAATTATTTTCATGTTATACATATAACAATAAATCAAATGTTCAAAAAGAAAACTCAATGCAACTCAATGAAACTGCAACTCAACACTGCTGACCACTGCTTCAGTCTGCTTTATATCGGTACATACAAAATCCCAGAAAATCTAAAGATTGTTAAATAATTGATCTAACAGTGCAGTGTTTGAGTACATGACAATTACTCTTCATCAGGTTTCTCTTCCTCCTCTGTAAGCACAAGTCTCTCCAAAGGTGAACAGCCTGTTTTTCCTGTGTCCCCCACTAAAGTCAGATCAAAGTGTGCAGAATTGCAGTAATTGTGTGCAGAATCTTGTACAAACCATTAAGATAATCTCAGGTGGCTAGCAAGAATGTACTTAAATCAAACAACAATCAACAACAACGCAAAATAAAGGAACAGGCAAAAACTTATATAGTAATTGTGACACAGTATTTTGTTTTCTGAAAAATACTTGTGTAAACAAGGTAGAAGAGACTCTCACAAGTCTAGGAGGCAATATGGTAGAATAAACATTTGCCAATTTTTTTCTCAAATACCAGCATAAATTGAATGCCAACAAAAACACAAATACATTGACCACATTAGTCTGATATTTCAGTGAGACAGCTTAACAGAATACATTTATTTATAGAGAGCATTCCACTGGTATGAACTTTGTACTTGAGTAAAGTGCATTGTTGTTGTTAAATTATATATAGGGTAATGAGTACACTTTTGTTAAATTTTTTCCCTAAAAAATAAAAATAAAATCATCTCTTTACTTAAGGTGCAAAATAGACCTTATGAAAAGGAAAACAAGACCTACTGTATGTCTACATATCATAAGATTCTATACAGATTGTCATAGCATCATTTTAGCCCTTTATGCATCTTCTTTAATGAAATGTCTTTTACGGAGTCTCTTCATGACAATAAGGGTTAATCACACATAAACAGGGCACTCAAGTGAAGTCGGTGAATTATTGCATGTAGCTGCAGTGCCACCTCTGGTTAAAACAGACATGTACAGAAAGTAATAATACTGGAATCTTCCTGGTGAGACTAAGGATCATTATTTTCAAAATCTTCCATTTGACTTTTGGTTCCAATAGATCTCAATCCCCCCCCCCCAAAACCCATCTGTTCCATAATATTCTTTTTACATTTTTGTGCCAAGTTCCACACTACGAATACTGAAGAATAAATGGACAAGATTGTTATTTAAGTCAGACTGTAACTGAATCACATGGTGTAATAAAGAGAGAATACAGTGTGTGACCAAAAATACAGAAAAAATAATTTCAGAAACTTTGCATCATACCAACACAATAAAGTGATGTTTTCAGTAGTAATTTCATAAGATCTTTATATTTTTATATTAATCAGGCCTTTGTTTATATATGTTGTGAGTAACTCTTTTGTTGTTGTTATTTGGCCATGATTGTTATTCACCACATTAAGAAACTAGTTTACACACCACACCCCAAGGAAAAAATAAATAGTGCTCCTAAAGGCTGTTAGAGAGAAGATGAGGTGGGAAATATCTGTACTTGTCGGTAGTGCACAGAGTTCAACCTTTTCTCTTATTGCATATTATTGTATGGCACAGATATTATTTTTGCTATAAGGAAATGTACAGCATAGTTAATTAACTGCCAGTTAATTCAAATCAATTAACTCTAGTAAGTCTTTTCAAAAGATTTCACAGTGACTGTAATCAACTGAGCAATCAACAGAGAAATAAATACTGAGAATTTAGTATACTGAAAATGAAGCATAGAAAAACTGTTTTTTATTTGATCATGCTATACAGTACATCGATTTGATAACAAGAAATATCTGTCATATACTGTAGGTATTGAGAGTGAAGGTTTCCCAAAAAGCGGGCTTTCTTTTACGCATTCCTATTATTTGTTTTATAAACTGTCAGTTAAGTAATGAGGCCTAGCATGCTGCCCTATTACTGTTATTATCCAACCATTCATTTTCTAACTGCTTCATCCAATTTAGGGTTGCAGCAAATAGCCTATCCCAGCAAACTACATGCACAAAGCAGGATAAATCCTGGACAGAATGCCAGTCCATCGCAGGATGAACACACACAAAGACAGACTCGCCTACACCAGGCCTAAGTTTTCCAAAAGCCAACTAACCTACTAGTATGTTCTTGATCTGTGGGAGGCATCCAGAGTTAACCCACTTGAACACAAGGATAACATACATCCACACAGGTAACAGAATTGAACACAGGGCCCAGTGCTATGGGGCAGCAATGCTAATCACTGCACCACTATGCCATCCCTATTGTTATTATCATCACCATGATCAGTTCTGTTCCTGATTTTGTGGCAGCTTCAAACATCATTTGTGTTACAGGCTAGAGCTGAATTGAAATCCGTGCACAGAATTAAATAATTCAGGGTACTGCGAATCAAGCTTTTTAAGTCTAATTCCTCCTAAGTGATCAAGATAAAGCAAGGGAGTCGTGTAAAAATTATAGTAATTCGTA